TGGAAACTGCTATTTTAAAAGGATATAATATTTGTGTTTTAAAGGGATAATGGAAAGCAAAATGGAAGCTACTATAGTATAGTCGGGTATATAATGGGGTTTATGGGGATAGTGGGAAAGAAATGGAAGCAACTATAGTAAAATGGGGTGTAATCTTGGAGCTTAATACTGATAACGGAAAGCAAATTACTAGTATAATAGGGTATATAATGGGGCTTTATGGGGATAGTCGGAAAGAAAATGGATGCAACTATAGTATAATGGGGTATAATATTGGAGCTTTATACTGATAACGGAAAGCAAAATGGAAGCTAGTATAGTATAATAGGGTATATAATCGGGTTTTATGGGGATAGTCGGAAAGAAAACGGATGCAACTATAGTATAATGGGGTATAATAATGGAGTTTTATAGGGATAATGGAAAACAAAATGGAAACTACTATAATAGAATAGGGTATATAATGGGGCTTTATGGGGATAATGGAAGGGAAAATAGAAACTACTGTAGTATAATAGGGTATACCACAATGATTTTTAGAGATAATGGAAAACAAACTGAAAGATACGAAAGTATGACAGGGATAATGGAAACGAAAATCAAAACTACTGTAGTCTAATAGGGTATTATTAAGAGGGTTCTATAGGGATAATGGAAAAGAAAATGGAAGGTACTATTTACCGGTGAAGGGATGCAGGCAATCGGAACTCCTTTGTGAGCTAGAGGTATTCCTCACAAGTAGATCGCCTTCCGAAGTAAACGGGAACCATGCGCTCTTCACTCTCCTCCAGATCCACAGAAGTCTCCAAAGCACTGATTGTCTTGAAGGCTGATGACATGCCTTCCTTGGCCGGACTTCATGGCTTGAAGTTAGGGGCGAGCGGTGGGGGCTTACAGCACAGTGCTTTGCACTAATTATGGCTTCGTGGAAATGCTAAAAAAAAGAAGAGCATACCTGCGCATGGAATCACACAGCGCAACCAAGATGCAGAGTCGAAGGTAGGGCACTTCACCCACATCAAATCTTCACTGCCGCCTGCAAATGCTGCAAAGACAGCCCAGAACAACAACTACAACCAGAACCATCACGACTACCACCACCGCTGCCACCTCTGCCACCACCATCACCACCGCAACACCCAGCAAATGCACCCGCAACCAGCTCCGCCCCTCGCGCCACCACAACCTCCAGCACCACAGGCATAGCAGCACGGCTACTGAGACATCCTTGTCAAGTCGGTTGCAAGTCATCGCTCAATGCATTCGTGCTATCATTTTCTTTACATTTGCTCGGGAAGGCATGGGGAAGTCGAACGCCCCAACCATTGTCTAAGAAATCACTATGGCGGCCGCTGCTGCTGTTGCTGTGGTTGTTGCTGTTGTCTCCAAGTTACGAATCCAAGCTAGTGATTAATACAACCACTAGAATTAATGAGTTTGTTTGCCAGGCTCACGGCCCAAGACTAATTCAAAGGCAAAGTGCATTTTGAAGCAAAACGGCCTTGAATTTCAAGAAGATACTTTCCAAGCTCTGAAAATGCTAAAAGCTTTTGTTTATCATTAGGGATTCAGAAAAGGGTTACGGTGCGGGGAGACTCAATCAGTGACATGCTTGACATTCAAAACCGGTGATGGCCCGTGAGGTCTGGGTGGGTGTGACATGCTACATAGCTTGTGCCTTCACCTGCAAGACACGTTTGACCTCCCTACCATTCAGCATCCTCCGGCTCAAGGATGCTCACATGCTGTCTACAACATGGCTCCGTGGTAAGCCATGCCTCGTAGCCGTAGCTTTAACAACCCTTTCTTGCAAGTTGAGTTGCCGGTTTGCAAGCGAGCACACTAAAACCACGAATGAAGCGCAGCTGCTGCGCTGGATGATCATGTGCCGCGCGCATGATGCCATGTGCAAGACGTGTCAACACTGAACTGCCTAATGGAATTACGGCCCTGTCTCTGCCTTCAGCCCAGGCCCACGGGAATTGAGGTCCCGGAGTCTGCACGGCGCGTTGCTCTAGCCACTGTGCCAAGTGGCCCTTGAAATAGCGTCGGTCCACCAAACACTGCCTCGTCGCGCTCAAGATAGGTTCCAGATGCATGTCTTGACTGTGACTACTTGGGGTGAGAAGTGGCATGTCTCACGATTGCATCAATTTACCCTCCAGCCTCTTGACGGCCTCGTGGAAAAGGAAGGCAGGTAAGTTTTGGCCAGGAGTCGGGGCAGTCGTGTAGAGGTGGATGAAAATCTTGGACTGCAGGATGTCATGCCTCAGCCACTTCCTCAAGATCTGCCAGGCAAACACGAATTCCATGGGGTCTCTGGTCATCCAGTAGAAATGAGCTTCCACCAGCCGATGCTGCTTTGACTCAGACACAAGCTCCGAGACCAAGGTGGAGAGCAAAGAGATGAATGGAGTCACTCCAACCCCAGCACCCACTGCCACGAGGACCCGCTTGTCCAAAGCTGACTGCGTTGGTGCAGTGAAAGGTCCATCCAAAGCCAAACGCGGGAGTCTGCCACTTAGGCAGCGCTTGGCCAGTTCCTGCGTCCAATCGCCGATACCCGCCACCAGGAAGTTCACGGTACTATCCTCGCTGCCTGAAGTGATGGTCATCGGGTGCCACTGCCACAAGGCGTATTCCGGCATGCAGATGAAAGCGTACATGCCAGCGTGCCCCTTCCAACGCCACAGGCACCTTGGGCGCGAGAGCTCCAGTTGCACCAGGGCGCCTTCAGCTTCGGTTTTTCCAGGCCCCGGGCGCACAACTGCACGCAGGACCCGCACGGAGTTGAGGTAGTAGCGGAGCAGCCGGGCCAGCCGAGCTGAGACGTAGAGGAGGATGGGAAGGCCGCAAACAACCAGCACTAAGGGGATGCCGATGCCAACCCACCCCTGTGAGCCGTGCAGAAACAAGAGGATCGGCCAGGTTACAATGCCCACCGTGTGGATCTTCGAGAAGATTTCGAACCTGAGGGCACGGAACTTGGGCTGACTTGTGAGTGCAAGGGCCACCAGCACCAGGGTTAACAGTACACCAGTCAGGCCAGGCATGGTCAAAAAGGCAGCTTCGGTGAAGGTCATGGGCTTGTCAGCCTCCGAGAGTGGGCATTTGGGCCACTGGAGGAAGCTCAGGTCCCAATTTGCC